AACAACAACACCGACTACCACATACAACAACAACAACAACAACAACAACACCGACTACCACATACAACAACAACAACAACAACAACAACAAATACAACAGCAACAACAACACCGACAACAACAACAACAACAACAACAACAACAACAACAACAACAACAACAACAAATACAACAGCAACAGCAACACCGACAACAACAACAACAACAACGACAACAACAACAACAGCTATTTCAGCAACAACATCATCAACAGCAATAACAACAACAACAACAACAACAACAACAACAACTTTGAATTGCTAGTTGAAGTAAAGTGCGTGTCTTTTCTACAGGTCTGGGAAGGCAGAGAAGTGTTTGGAACTGTCAGACAACGGCTCACACATCACGTCAAATGATGACGTTGTTTCTACGGCTTCTGTTTGCCGTCTGGCTGGCAGCTGTAAGCGGAAGTAACAACAACAACAACAACAACAACAAACGGCCAAACATTGTCTTTGTATTAGCAGATGACTACGGCTTCAATGACATCGGCTACCATTCTCCAGATATCTCCACCCCTGTTCTCGATCAGGTAAGTTAATGGCGTGGCACTGCGGATAAAGAAAGCTCCATATTATTTACCCTGATGGGTGCGACTTCAAGGGAACTCTCAATGCAGGCTTTGGGGTAAGAAAAGAACATCCTGACAAGACGTGTGAAGAAACAGTTGGTGCTTGTGGTACTTTTTGTACAAATTTAGAGGCCCAGGTCATCGCCATCGAAGCATCAATACTCACAAAAGTCTTTCCATGTAGTGCATTTATGTTTGAATTTTACTCCAAAAAAGTTGATCAAAGGCACACAAAAGATGTAATTTTGCAGAAATTAAAGACTCTCAAGCTATGAAAGGCAGCAAACTTTAACATGTTTTCTCGCTTATTTTACTTCCAGCACCAGGCCTCCTTCAGTCGAAAATATCTCGATTTCTTTTCAAATAGATTTTTTTTTCGTCCAAAGCAAGACAAATAAACACACTTTAAGATTATATAAATGATTTCTTAATGCTCATAAATAAATTATTGACGAGCACCTGATTCCACTGCGTTGTGATACATAGTATACTAAGTCAACTGTCTTGGAGGGAAGCTCCGTCTGCGCAGCTGACGTCATGACCTTGGTTCAGATTGCTGGCTTGGTGTTCTTGAACTTGAGTTGTTTACATATCTTTTCACAGGCAGCGAAAGATCTTGTCAGTTTATTAGTTTTTTAGCGCTTTTATAATGGCAGCTTGCGCTGTATGCTTCCCATCAATTTGAGATTGTTTCCGAATGCTATCAGGTCTGCTGAGGTAATAATATAGCTTGTAAAGCGCGTACAGCTTGCTGTTGAGCGGGAATTTGTGGTACTCAAATGCTATCTATTAGTATCATAAATAGTATGATTATCTCTCCATTCACTTTGCATGGTTCTAGGTTAGGTGTGCATAATGTCATAATAATATTCTAGATCCTGTCTGTAAAGTCCATTATAGGCAGATGTTTGGTGCGTGCTCTGATGTGGTTTGTTCCTTCTGTCCTATAAAATATGTATCGTCTTGACCTCTTATCCTTTTTTTGTGTTTGCTACTTTCATATAACACCTTCAATCTTCTGCAATTATATAACCTTATTGTGTTTCAGGTGCCATAAAACGCTCACGAAAACTTAAAAAAAAACCCAATGCAGTGTGTATACTGCAGCTGTTGAAGCCATAATATGACCTTATTGTGTTGCAAGTAGAATAAAACGTTGACTAAAACTGAAAAAACCCAACTATACAGGGAATAGAATATAATACATTTGAACCAATACAATGTCATGCTCCGACCCAGAACTCTTGATCTTTTTGCTCAGCTTGCGACAGAGGGGGTGAGGCTTGAGAACTATTACGTCCAGCCCATCTGTTCCCCCACTAGGAGTCAGTTCATGTCTGGCAGGTACCAGGTGGGTTCTTTGAGTATTTTTATTTCATTTTTTTGTGGCTGTTGTTTTTGTTGTCGTTATGATCACTGTTGTCCTAATTGTTGTTGTTTTTGATGATGTTGTTGTTGTTGTTGTTGTTGTTATTGTTGTTGTTTGTTGTTGTTTTTGTTGTTGTTAGAGTAGTCAGTCATCATAATAGCAGAGAGTGAACAAGACATTAGTTTGTGAACTAATACAGACAGTTTGATGTTTACTCTCTTTCTCTCTCTCTCTCTCTCTCTCTCT